ATCCCAGCAGTTTGGGAGGCTGAGGCGGGCAGATCACCTGAGGTTGGGAGTTCGAGACCAGTCTGGCCAACATAGTGAAACCCCATCTCTACTAAAAATATAAAAATTAGCCAGGCGTGGTGGTGGGTGCCTGTAACCCCAGCTACTTGGGAGGCTGAGGCAGGAGAATCACTTGAACCCAGGAGGTAGAGGTTGCAGTGAGACCAGATCACACCACTGCACTCCAGCCTGGGTGACAGAGCAAGACTCCATCTCAAAAACAAACAAAAAAAAACCAGAAGGATGGTTATCAGATGCTGCAAAGGACAGTGGGCAGGGGAGGTGGAGTAGGGATGGTTAATGCATACAAAAATACAGTTAAAATGAATAAGCCCTAGAATTTGATAGCATCACAGGATGACAATAGTCAACAATAATTTATTGTACATTAAAAAATAACTAAAAGTATAATTGGATTGTTTGTAACACAAAGAAAGGAAAAATGCTTGAGGTGGATACCCCATTTACCCTGATGTGATTATTACACATTATATGCCTGTATTAAAATATCTCACGTACCCCCTAAATACATACACATACTATGTACCCACAAAAATAAAAATAAAGATAAAATGGGCCAGGCGCGGTGGCTCACACCTGTAATCCCAGCACTTTGGGAGGCTCAGGTGGTGGATCACCTGAGGTCAAGAGTTCAAGACAGCCTGGACAACATGGTGAAACCCTGTCTCTCCTAAAAATTAAAAATAAGCAGGTCATGGTGGTGGACTCCTGTAATCCCAGCTACTCGGAAGGCTGAAGCAGGAGAATCACTTGAACCTGGGAGGTGGAGGTTGCCGTGAGCCGAGATCGTGCCATTGCACGCCAGCCTAGGAAACAAGAGAAAAACTCTATCTCAAAAAAAAAAAAAAGATAAAATGATATAGTATTTCCATATAACCTAAACACATCCTCTCATATACTTGAAGTCATCTGTAGATTACTTATAATACCTAATATAATGGAAACAGTTGTCTATTGTTTTATTTGTATTGTTTCTTGTTGTCATATTGTTACTTTATCATTGTTTTTTCAAATATTTTCTATCTGCGGATACAGAACCTATGAATCCAGAAGGCCGACTGTATATCAAATCAGTATTTACTAGTATGTAAGAAATCCATTTCAAAAAGTAACTAAGGGAGGAGGGGGAAAAAAATTAATAAAGTATCTTAGAGCTATGATAGCCTCACCGCACTCCAATTTGGCAACAAAGTAAGAAAGACTCTGTCTCTAAAAAAAATAAAGTATCTTAAAGGTTTAAAAAGATCTTAGTTATACTGCTTTATATATGTTAATATGTATATTACAATGTATGTTTTTTCAATCATGGAGACTTAATTTAACTTTCCTGTTTAACTTGTCTGACTGTTTACATTTTAACCGCAACCAACTCACACTAGTCAACTCCAGCTGTATAAATTATCTGTTAAATGATATCTCCCGGTGGAGTGGGAGCAGAAAAAAAATCTTTTTAATGATATCAAACATTTACACAAAACAATTTATTTGCTAAAAATGACTTGCAGATTGACTGGCTGACAATAACTTCAGTATCATAAAATGAAGGAATTGTTTCAGAGGTGGCATGTTCTGGTCCCTGAAACAGCAGCCCTGAGTGCTCTCCCAGCTGTCATCTTTTTCATTTTACTAGCCACTCTGAAGATTTTGAGAAGAGCCATGTAATTAAGAAACCTATTTGCAACTTAATATAACAAATGATTTATATCCCTAATGAATATAAAGTACTTGCAAATAAAGAAACGAATGATCAAAAGCCCAATGGAAAAATAGGCATAGTACATGAGTAGGCATTTTACAAGTAGAAATACAGATGGAAAATAAAATGTGAAAAATGTCAAACAGTAATCAAATAAATGTTAACTAAAACTGTTATCACCTTTTCTCCATCATCAGTGGTTATCTTCAAAGGGTAGGATTACAGGGTCTTTTTTTGTTGTTGCTTATCTAAATTGTGTAATTTCTATCAATAGTATCTAATAAGTATATAAAAGAATAGTTCAGTAGCTGGGCGGCAATTACCACTTCAAAGAACAGTGATACAGTAATAACTCATCACCAACTCATCACCAGGATGGCCCAAGAAAACAAACCCATGGAAAATGAAGTGTATCATCACTTCAAAACCTACTATAGGCCGGGCATGGTGGCTCACACCTGTAATCCCAGCACTTTGGAAGGCTAAGGCAGGTGGATCAACTGAGATCAGGAGTTCAAGACCAGCCTGGCCAACATGGTGAAACTCTGTCTCTACTAAAAATACAAAATTAGCTGGGCATGGTGGCATACACCTGTAATCCCAGCTACTCGGGACGTTGAGGCAGGAGAATCGCTTGAACCCGGGAGGCAGAGGTTGCAGTGAGCCGAGATCACGCCACTGCATTGCAGCCTGGGCAACAAGAGTGAAACTCCATCTCAAACAAAACAAAACAAAACAAAAAAAATCCTACTATATACCATGCTCTTTTCTCTCTTTCAGGCTATTTTCTTTGTCTAGTTCTTTCCTCATATCGATAAATTTGCCAGTTCCCCATGTCTATTTCCTTTATGTTTATCAGGTCAACCCACTGCTAATCCTTTCACATAGCTGGTAAAGCCACCTTTGACAGTACCAGCTATCTTCCTGTATCTATCTTCTCGTAAGATGACTTTGATCATGTCACTTCTTTGCTCATTAAGTTTAAACTCTTTAAATGTGGCGCTCAAGTTCCTTCACAAAGGAGTCTGACCTGACTTCTGGACTTCTGAATTACTCCTATCCAGTAGGATTCCTAAACTCCAAGCTAATAGGCCTTCTCTACTGTCCTTTGAATAAGTAGAGGAGGCCCAATTGTTTCTATCTCATTCCTTATTCATCAAACACTATTTGGACGAAGATGCTGTCTTAGTAGTTTAAGATTGGGAGGATGAAGGATACAAAATGAAATATTTAGTATTAATATCCAATATAAGCTATGTGCTAAAGGAGTGGTAGACACTATTCATTGATGCATATTTTCCTTTTCCCTTTAACTGGTCACATATTAAAGAATAAAATGTTTATTTTACTTTTTTTTTTTAAATACAGTGTCACACTATATTGCCCAGGCTGGTCTCAAACTCCTGGTCTCAAGGAGTCCTCTCGCCTCGGCCTTCACAAAGTGCTGGGCTGAGCCATGCACCTGGCCAAGAATAAAATTTTAGTACTTGTATTTGTTGAACTATGTCTTCTCAGGACATTAAATTTAGTTGTAATAATCTTTAACTTTTCAAAGAACAAACATACCTCTCTCACTATTGTTTGTATTTGTATAAATTTTCAGGCTTTTTTTTTCCCATTACTGATCTGTAGCTTAACAGAAATAATTTTCTACAGCAGTTCCATTTATTCCACAACTCTTAGGACATTCAGTTAGTTAAAAGAGCAAGAACTTTGCAATGACAAAGGCCAAGATTAGCATTCTGAATTCTATTCCCCACCCCTGTTTTTTCAGCAGTGTGACTTTAGGAAAATTGTGACCTCTCCAAATTTCTTTCCCCTAACTCTAACACGGGGATAATAATACCTACTTCATAGGGTTATTGTAAACATTAAATGAGTAAGTGGAAACTACTTCATAGTCCTTGATATATACTAAGAACTCTACAAATAGAAATTATCAATACAATTATTACTATTCAACAGCAAGAGCACTACTGTCTAGAGTATCTGGTAACTCCGATTTTGAAAACCTGAGCGCAAGATAATGAGACTCACTGTAGCAGTTACCTAAATTCTGGTAGTACAAACTAAAGAAGCACTGTCTACACTTTAATATGTCCCTTATTTTACTTGACCCCTCTAGAAAGCAAGTTATTATACGTATGATTATTTATCATGACAGAGCATAGAAATATATAAAATAACTGAAATGATATAATGTTTGGGATTTGCTTCAAAATAACCCAGGGTAGCCGGGTGCGGTGACTCCCGCCTGTAATTCCAACACTTTGGGAGGCCAAGGAGGGAGGATCGCTTAAGCCCAGGAGTTCAAAGACAGCCTGAGCAACATAAGGAGACCCCAGCTCTACAAAAGGGCGGGGCGGGGGAGAAGTTAGCCGGGCTTGGTGACGCCTGCCTGTAGTCCCAGCTAGCGGGGAGGCTGAGGCGTGAGGATCGCTGGGGCCCAGGAGGCGGAGACTGCAGTGGATCGAGATCCCGCCACTGCACTTCAGCCTGGGTGACAGAGATCCTGTCTCAAAAACGCAAAATAACCCGGATTAGGGGAGCAAGACTGCCCATGTACTGATAATTACTGAAACTGGGTAATGAGTACAGTGAATTCCTTATATCGTTTGTTCAATTTCTCACAGTTTGAAGATTTCCATAATAAAATGCTGTTGTTGTTAATGCCCAAAGGCCGGCTTTGGGGCTTCCTGCAAACTCTGGTCATGGTCAGAAGATACCCGACCACGCGAAGCTGGTTAAACTTTCCGGCAGACCACCGAGCGCACTGTTCCTCTCGGACGCCGGCCTGAGTGCACCCGCGCAGTAGGGCTCCCGAGCCCGGGAAGGGCGCAGCCCCCAAGGGAGCCGCCGCGAAGGGCGGTCGCCCCCAGGACCGCCCCCTGGCGGCTGGCGCGGGAAACTGGGGTCCGAAAGATGGACCGAAGGTCGGGGGAGGGGGCAAGAGGCATAGGGGTAGATAGGCGGGTGGGCGAGTCTCAGCCTTCAGGGTAAGTCAGCCGACTTCTCTCGGCTTCTCCGGAGCCCCGGACCCACGCGCCCTCAGCCGAGGCAGTCTCTGCCTCCCGGCCGCGGGGCAAACACCCAACCGGCCCAGGATCCCGCCGGTCTCCCTGCGTTCCCGAACCGAGCTCCTTCAGCTCCTGTCCTGATTCCAGGGCATCCCATGGCCGTCAGGCCTGGAGCCGACTTCATTACCCCGTCGCCAACCGCTTTGCCGAGTTCCCACCCAACTCACCTCCGCCGCGCGGCAGCCAGCACCCGCTCCGGCTCCTCAGGCTTCCAGCTTGGCTGTCCCGTGGCGTTGCTGCCAATCAGCCAATCCCCGCCCCAAGCCTGAGCCAGGCTGATCAATCAGCTGTTTCCTCAGGCTCGGAGGCGGGCACAAGAAACCCGGCGGAGGGCGCGGCAACCGCTCCGCAAGCCGGCTGCGGCGTTTCACGGTCGGTGTGCGCACGCGCGGAGCTCTGCGAGGGGGCGTGTGCTTTTGTGCGGACCTTGCTTTGTGCCTTCACTGTCCTGCCCTGGGAAGTGCTTTTGTCAGCTTCATGCTCTAGGGGTTTAGGGACACCCACATTCTGAATGTAGTCGCAGATGCGTATTACCTTGAAAGAGGCTGCGAGTCGTAAGCCTTTGTTAACCTAACATGTGGAGCCCATTTCACCGCACGCCGTAGGGACCTGTGTCCACCCGGCAGATATAATGCCTGTGCGGACCTCACATCAGGAATGTTTCTCTTTAGGCTAGAACAGGAGTGCGGGGATTACAAAGTGCCTCATGGATAAGTATTTTACTTTACCGTGTTCAGTTCTAGCGTCTGTTCAGTCCGATTCATTTGGGGAACGTGCTTTCTAAAGATTTGAATACTCTAGGACACTCTGGATTTCCAATAATTGTCGTGAAAATATGATTATTACATTTATAGCTAACTTATGCAGTATAGTAATGTGCGTAGGCTTGATGAAAGATTCCTATGTAGGGCAGGAAACCTGTCCGTATTTCTGTATGGCTGTTGCTGATTGGCTGTCTCTCTTACCCTCCTATTGCAATTGATCCCGGAGGTCGCTGGGCTGTCACTGGATCTCTGATGTTCTTGCCCTGGATGACACAAGTCTCTTCCTAGTGAGGGCTTTCCTCCTTCACCCAGAGCATTAACTCATTTACTCAACAAGGGCTTGTTGGGGGACCACTATGACCGCAGAAAGGTTGGTAAAAGCCTTGAGCCACGCCCTAAGTGAGCCTACATGATGACGAGGAGATAACACAAACTAAACAAAAGCACAAACTTAACATACGTGATCAAATGTTATAATGGAATTGAAGTGGGAGCCTCGGCGCCTCCATACTGTCTCAGGGAATACTTGAGAAAATACTCAGAGAAGTGAGTGCTTGTCTGAGACTGGGTGCAAGAGTAGGAGCTTTGGAGCTGAAAGGGTGGGAGCGACAGTGGCTGTTCTGTCAAAGGGCACCCATTTCTTCCTCTGAGATCTTTCTGGAGGGTATTTACTGCTAAGCTAATGAAGCTTGTGTCTCAGGCACGCTAACTTTCGCTAGCCCTTTCCAAAGTCCATAGAGGAACTTTAGCATTGAGTTTACGTGATCATACGTAATCATAAGTTGTTTTCTACTTATTTATTAAAAGGAAAATGTCTTAAAGCACCCCTCAAAGAGGTATTGGTTAAGACCTTTTTTTTTTCCATCCTCTCCAACTTCCCTTCCTTCATAATTCCTTTCTTGCTAGATACGCTGGAGTGGCCTTGGACATTTTGGGATTCTGGGTGGGGGAAAGAGAGTTGAATTGAACTTGGGCCTCTTCGTGATAAGTTACTGCTGGCTTTCCTGGTGCTGGACTGGCTTCAAGCAAGACATGCTCTGCCATCTCACTCAGTGCTATGATACAGGGATGTGTCCCTTGGCACCTGGCCCTAGAAGTATGTGGCTAGTGGAGGATAAAGTTTGAAGCCAGGCGCGGTGGTGCATGCCTGTAATCCCAGCAATTTGGGAGGCTGAGGCAGGTGGATCACTTGAGGTCAGGCGTTTGAGACCAGCCTGGCTAACATGGTGAAACCCCGTCTCCACCAAAAATACAAAAAAGCTGAGTGTGGTGGCACGTGCTTGTAACTCCAGTTACTCAGGAGGCTGAGGCAGGAGGATTGCATGAACCCGGGAGGCAGAGGCTGCAGTCAGCGGAGATCGCACCACTGCCCTCCAGCCTGGGCGACCGAGCGAGACTCTGTCTCAAAAAAAAAGGGTGGGGGGAGGGGCTGGGCGCTGTGACTCACGCCTATAATTCCAGCACTTTGGGAGGCCGAAACGGGGAGATTATTTGAGGTCAGAAGTTCGAGACTAGCCTGACCAACATGGTGAAAACCCTGTCTCAGCTAAAAATACACACACACACACACACACAAATTAGCCAGGCATAGTGGCGGGTGCCTGTCCCCAGCTACTCGGGAGGCTGGGGCAGGAGAATCGCTTGAACGCGGGAGGCGGAAGTTGCAATGAGCCGAGATCACGCCACTGCACTCTACACTCCAGTCTAGGTGACAGAGCGAGACTCTGCCTCAAAAAAAGGAAAAAAAAAGAGAGAGAGAGAGAAAGAGAGTTTGAAATGTAATAAACCGGAAGCTAATCTAGGGGAGATCTTCTGGTCATCACGCTTCTAAAACTGTCAGCAGGATGCTTTGTTTTTTGTTTTTAATTAACTATTTTAGAATTATTTTAGATTTACAGAAAAGTTAGAGTACATAAAGTTCCTGTCTACTCCTCACCCAGTTTCCCTAGTGTTAACATCTTACATTACCATGATACACTTACAAAACTAAAGAGCCAGCCAGGCGTAGTGGCTCACGCCTGTAATCCTAACGCTTTGGGAGGCCAAACTGGGAGGATCATTTGAGCCCAAGAGTTCAAGACCAGCCTAGGCAACAAAGCGAGACCCCATCTCTATTTTTTTAAATAAATAAATAAATAAAAAGAAAAAACAAAACAACTGAAAAGCCAAATATTGGTACATTACTATTTACTAAACCCCAGACCTCATTTGGGTTTTAGTAAGGTTGTTTTTCTGTTTCAGGATCTAATCTAAGATGCCACATTGCATTTAGCCATCAAGCCTCCTTAGTCTCCTCTGACCTGTGACCGTTTTTCGGTCTTTTCTTGTTTTTCATGACCTTGATATGACCATGACAGTTTTGAAGTCTGGTCAGGTATTTTGCAAAATGTCCCTCGATTTGTGTTTGTCTGATGTTTTTCTCATGATTAGACTGTGGTTATAGGGTTTGGGGAAAACATCACAAGATGAGATGACCTTCTCATCACATTATGTCAGAGGATACATGATATCACTCTACCTTATTACTGGTGAGGCTGACACATGGTAATATTTGCTAGTTACTCCACTATAAAGTTGTATTTTCCCACTTTCCATATTCCTTTCTTTGAAAACAAGTCACTAAATACTGCTCATACTCAAATGGAATGAGGATTAAGCTTCAACTTCTGGAGTGGACAATTGATAAACCTTATTTGAAATTCTGAAAGGAAGATTTGTCTTTCCTCATTTATTAATTTATATTTACATTCAATCATTTATTTATATAGACATATAGACTCTTGTATATTTATTTTATACTGTTACTCAATTGTTTCAGCTTTGGCCATTGGGAGTTCTTTTAACTAGGTTCATGTGTTCCTTTTGTTTTTTGATTATCTCCTTTTTTCTGGAACTATAAGATGCTCTGCGCTTATCTTGTATTTTTCCTTACCCAGCCCTAAAATCAGCCATTTCTCCAAGAAGTCCTGGAATGGTATTTAGAAACCAAGATTTAGGTACTGGATGATCTCATTGCTACTGGGATATCACTTAATTTATTGTTTTATTTTATTTTTTATGGAGATGGGGCCTTGCTGTGTTGCTTAGGCTGGCCTCAAACTCCTGGACTCAACTGATCCTTTTGCTTGGCGTCCCAAAATGCTGGGATTACAGGTGTGAGCCACCATGCCAGGACCAGGATATTGTTGAATTTATCTTCTTTTACAAGATAGAGCTAGGAAATATATTACCACCTTGTTTTTTAATTCTTTGCTTACATCTCTATGATAGCCTCTAAGGTGACCCCCAGTGATCCTTGCCGCCTGGTATTCATGCCCCTTGTGTAATCCCCTCTCCTTGAGCATCAACTTGCTTCTAATGAATAGAATACAGTAAGAATGAAAGGATGTCATTTCTAGGTTAGGTTACAAAAAGATTGTGGCTTTCATCCTGTTTGCTCCTTCTAGCTCTCCTTCACTTGCTCTGAGGGAAGACAGTGTCATATGTGAGCTGCCCTAGGGAGAAGCCCATGTGGCAAGAAACTGAGGGAAGCCTCTGACCAACACTCAGCAAGGAACTGAGGCTCTCCTTCCATCAGCTATGAGAAACTGAGTCCTACTAATGGCCATGTGAGGTGAGCTTGGAAAAATAGCCTGTCTCACTCAACCCTTGAGATGACTGAAGCCCCAGCTGACCTCTTGATAGCAGCCTTTTGAGAGATCTGAGCCAGAGGCACCCAGCTAAGCTGCACATGGATGCCTGATGCACAGAAACTATAAGCTAGTAAATTATTACTGTGTTGACAACTTTTGTAGAAATGTGTTAGGAAGTGATATACAGGACGGGCGTGGTGGTTCACACCTGTAATCACAGAACTTCGGGAGGCCAAGGCGGGAGGATTCCTTGAGCCCAGGAGTACAAGACTGTCCTGGGCAACACAGTGAAACCTCATCTCTAGAAAAAATATGCATAAGGGACGGGTGCGGTGGCTCATACTTGTAATCCCAGCACTTCGGGAGGCTGAGGCAGGTGGATCACTTGATGTCAAGAGTTCGAGACCAGCCTGGTCAACATAGTGAAACCCTGTCTCTGCTAAAAATACAAAAAAAATTAGCCAGGCGTGGTGGCAGGCACCTGTAATCCCAGCTACTTAGGAGGCTGAGGCGGGAGAGTCGCCTGAACCCAGGAGGCGGAGGTTGCAGTGAGCTGAGATCGCGCCATTGCACTCCAGCCCAGGTGACAGTGCAAGACACCGTCTCAAAAAAAAAAAAAAAAAGAAAAGAAAAAAGAAAAAACATACATAGGGTAGCCAGGTGTGGTGGTGTGTGTCTGTAGTCACAGCTACTCAAGAGGCTGAGGTGGGAGGATCACCTGAGCCTGGGGAGGTTGAGGCTGCTGTGAGCCCTGATCTCAACACTGCACTCCATCCTGGGTGACAGATGAGACTCTGTCTCAAAAATTAAATTAAGTTAAATAAATAAAATGAAATACAAAGGACACATTAGATAATTAACACAATTTATGTTTCCTCCACAAGATCAGTGACTCTTAAATTTCACATTGGAGCTGTGTAAAAGTATGTATGCCCAGGCCTCTACCTCTGCAGGTCTATTCAGCAGAATTATGATTGT